TACCCAGGGTGACAGAGTAAGAATCTGTCTCAAAAAACAAACAAACAAAAAAAACAACAAAAAACCCCCAAATATACCAAACATGTTAACAGTAGTTGTCTCTGGGTATGGATTTTCAGGGTATACATATTTCTTTACACTTTTCTACACATTGCAAATGTCCCTCTATGATCCACATTAATTTTATAATCAAAAGGAGTAAAATGTTTATAATATTTTTTAAACATGAAATTCTTTCTTTTCTCTTTCGTCTTTATCTTTTTTTAGATGCAAGGTCTCACTGATCTTTAACTCCTGATCTCAAGCAAACTTCCTGCCTCAGCCTCGTCCAAAGTGCTGGGACTCAGACATGCACTATCATGCCAAGCCAAAAAATGAAAACTTCTAATAGAACAACAGATAAGAACTCAGCTAGGCAATATGAAACGTAGAAAACAAAACACTATGCTCCTGGCTCTGATAGTCCAGTCTAAAATTTATTCATAACACAGCAGTGTACCCTTTAAAAGGGTAGAGGTCAGATCATGTCTCTGCTTAACTCAAGACCCTCCAAAGGCTTCCCCATTTCACTAAGTATAAAAGCCAAAGTCCTTACAATGACCTCCAGGACCTCCCACCATATCCCTGTCCTCCTCTAGAACCCAACCCTGTCTTGGTTCTAGTCATACTGGCCTCTAAGCTGTGCTTCACATCTTCCACGCACACACCTGCCTCAGGGCCTTTGCACTTGCTGTGCCCCTACTTGGCATGCTTTCCCTCCACATAACCAAAAGCATGCTTCAGGTCTCTGTTACACGGTCATTTTATCAGTGAGACCCTCCTGGACCCCCATATAAAGGAAGAACTACCCCACTGTTCCCAGCACCCCTTCTCCCCTTTGCCCTGAGCAATTTATGGCTATCCGTGACACTGCAGAATTTCCTGTGTTCGTTTGCCTGGTACATAGAAGATGCTCAGTAAACATGTGCCAAATGCCGCCCTCAACGAATAAATGCATTAGCCCGCAAGCTCCTCAGGGCAGAGGGGCCCAGGCTCATGCTGGCAAAGTGCACAAGACAGGCAGTAACGCCACACTGACAGTCCCAGGACTGTTTAATTAGCATTTGACTCACTCCAGAAAAAATACTTACAATTACAGCCAGAAATAATGAAAGTGAGGCACTGAAAGGAAAGGAAGATAAGATGCTTGGGCAGAGCGAGACAAGAGTTTCCATCAGAAAATCCAAGTTCTTTTTTTTTTTTTTTTGAGACAGAGCCTCAAGCTGTCCCCCTGGGTAGAGTGCCGTGGCATTTTAGCTCACAGCAACCTCCAACTCCTGGGCTCAAGCGAGTCTCCTGCCTCCGCCTCCCAAGTAGCTGGGACCACAGGCGCCCGCCACAACGCCCGGCCATTTTTTTGTTGCAGTAGTCGTTGTTTGGTGGGTCCGGGCTGGGGATTCGAACCCGCCAGCTTAGGTGTACGTGGCTGGCGCCTTAGCCGGTTGAGCCATAGGCGCTGAGCCAGAAAATCCAAGTTCTCCCATTAGGATTTGGCTTTTGCTGTGGGACAGAACTCTGAATTTTTATCACAGACTCAGAACCAGCTTAAAATCTGACATCTGAAGTGCCCTTTTATTTAGCTCTCTTCATTACGATTAGATGGTTGTATAAGGAAGAAACGCATTAATAAACCAGTTACCCTGGCCTTCTCCCACCCTCAAAGCAGACAGGAAAATCTGGCATGTGGGTTTGGTACCCACAGGTATCCAGACCCATATAAACCATGTGCATAGTCACAAACCCACCCGTACCTACGAAATGTCTACCACATGCCTGGTGCTGCAAGAGGGAACATTCTTTTTGTTTGTTTTAATTTCAAATAAATATGAGAGTACAGGCCAGGCACAGTGGCTCACGTCTGTAATCCTAACACTCTGGAGGGCCGAGGCAGGTGGATTGCTTGAACTCGGGAATTTAAGACCAGCCCGAGCAAGAGCCAGACCCCATCTCTAAAAATAGGTGGGCATGGTAAGGGGTGCCTGTAGTTCCAGCTACTCAGGGGGTTGAGACAAGAGGATCACTTGAACCCAAGAGTTTGAGGTTGCTGTGAGTTATGATGATGCCACGGCACTCTACCCAGGGCGACAGGGTGGGACTCTGTCCCCCACCACCACCAAAAAAAAAAAAAAAATGAGGGTACAAACGTTTCGGTTACATCATTTTCAATTCTAAGGTAAAGTTCAAGTTGTAGTTGAGCCCTTCACCCAGGGGGGCGTGCTGAACACCCTCACATTGTGCACATAAGTGAGATCCTGCCAATTGCCCTCCCTCCCCCTGCCAAGAAGAGAGAACATTCTTGATGTTGCTGAGTTTTATCAGCCTCTAAAAATTCAAGGACAAAGTGATAGCGTAATGCACAGCTTCATATTCTTCGCCTTAGGAAAGATAAGAAAATTTATTCTAAGCTATTTCGGCCTTCTCTGGCTATTGGAGCACTCGGAGATTAGGGCAGGCTGGTGGGAGGCCCGCCCATGTCTGGTGGCTCAGGACTACTAAGCAGAGTGAGGCTGGACAGGGCAGAGAAAGTGTGCTAAATTCATCTTCCATCCTATCCACCTTTTATTCCTTAGCTCCTTCATCTCTGTCCTTCCACAGCTCAGCTGTGACCATCATTTCCCTCTGCTAGGCTGCCTCCCCAGAAGATAATGCTTTAAGAAATTTCCTCTCTTAAAAGTGATCTGCATCACTTTTATTTATTTATTTTTTGAGTCAGGGTCTCACACTGTTGCCCAGGCTAGAGTGCAGTGACATCATCGTAGCTCACTGCAGCCTCAAACTCCTGGGTTTAAGTGATCCTCCTGCCTCAGCCTCCTAAGTACCTGGGACTACACATGGGTACCACCACACTTGGCTAATTAGTTTCTTTTTTTTTTGGTAGAGATAGGGTCTCACTGTGTTGCCTAGGCTGGTCTGAAACTCCTAGCCTTTGGCAATCCTCCTGCCTCAGCCTCCCAAAGTGCTAGGATTACCTGCATGAGCTGATAGCTGCATCCTAAAAGGGATGCCTTGAAGAGTGAAAGGACCTCAAGTTCAAAGGGGGAACTTTCAGCTGGGGAGGAAGAGACACCTCCAATATTTATGGAATATCTACCCTGTGCCATTTTGTATACTTTAATATTCTTGATGAATTCTCGCAGCAACTTCATGAAGTGGATATTATCATCTCCATTTGGGGATGAGGAATCAGGGACTTTCAGGAGAGACAGTAGGCAAGTTTACACTTTGAGACCCTGACCGCTGCCTTCCCTGTCCACAAGCCACAGCAATAATAGATGAAAATATTTTAAAAGCAACAGTAAGTAAGCTTGCATGTGCTCTAAAACAAGATATATGTCTCAATTGACCAGAAACTCAAAATATTTACTACTTTGAGGGGCTAAAGAAGTCAGAGTCTACTGAGCTCTAGGTCCAGAAACAGATGGATGCCTCTGGGAGACTGGTCCTCCAGGGCGTAGGGACTAAAAGTGTCCCTTGGGACAGGGGCCCAGAGCAGAGTCACTAATAAGGGGCTGATGAGTTTCCCACCTGGGAAAGGAAGCTGAAAAAAGCAGGGTCCTGCCCAAGACTAGAGCATATACACATAGAAGAAAGTGAGGTCAGAGGAAAGGATGCTGGCAGCAGCGCCCACTGTGGGGCCTGGCCAGGATGTCAGCTCTGGGAACAACCCCACTATTCCCATGGACTAGCAGCTCACCATGAACCCAGGCACCCCGCTCAGCACTAAGGATGCACAACGTAGGTGGAGGCAGACTCCAAACCACCAGGCAAGGAGAGCTGGGCGGGAAAGAGGGAGACATGGACTCCTACTCAAGATGAGCTCACACCTGAAATTCTAAAACATCTGAAGAAAACGAACCCTAAGAAAGACAACCGGCAAAACCAACAGGGGGGAGATGGTCTCGCCTGAGTGACTTGGGAAACAGAACTGAAAAATTCACCCAGGAAGTGTCACAGAAAGATGAAGAAAGAAACAAATGAGAAAGAGGAGTTAGGAGCTGTGGAGGATGGTTGGAAGGCTCTCAAATGTACGAAAGGAGAGCTAGAATGGCGGGGCAACAATATTCAAGGGCATTATTATGGCTGCGAACTTGCCAGAACCGAAGATATTTTATGGAGCCTCAATTAAAATCATAGATCAAGGGCCAAGCAAGATTAAAAAAAGCAAACAAACCTGTATCTGGGAAACCAAGTGCACCCTCCTCTACCCCAGGCTCCTTGTGCCCCCACCCTGCCTCCCCGCCCTTCCCAGCAGCTGCCAGCCACAGCCTGTCAGTTTCAGCTCCACTTCAACCCTGATGCAGTGAGAAAGCCTTGGCCTTGGGTCAGGAGATGTGGTTCTAGCCGTCCCCTTGCCACCCCCAGCTGCTACTGTCCTAGAGCCCTTGCTAAGTCTTAACTTCCTTCCCTAAAACAGGGCTGGAACCTGAACTATGAAATCTCGGCCCCAGAAAGGATGCAGAGGGTAGCACCCTCACGGCAGACCATGGCTGCTCCGCATTTTCAGCTCCCCTACTCCTGAGAGTTGCTTAACCTCTTGTGTCTCCATTTCCCCACCAGGAAAAGGGGCTAAGAATGGCACCCACCCATGTGGTAGTACAATGATAAAATGGATTAGTACACACGGAGGACTCAGCACAGTGCCAGCCACATAGATGTTCAACCTGAGGTCGCTGCTACTATCAGTATAATAATTCCCTACTACATGCCATGTGCACACATGCTCTCCGTGTGAGGGGCTGTCCCCTGAAACCACAGAGCCCCCAGGTATAGAGCCAGAGCCCACGGCCATTTGTGCACAGGGGAAAATGGGCAAGCCCCTCACTCCCATGCTCCTCCCCTGGACACCATGGGCAATCCCTTCTTGACCTCTGGAGAAGCCCCTCCCAGCAGCCAACCATCCATTCCCCATATGGGAGCATGCAGTTCCCGCCCACCCAGCCCCACTGCCCTGGACACCCTACCTCTCTCTGCTCACTGCAGATTTTACACAACCACAGGGGCCGCTTCTGGCCAGGGCAGGCCTCGATCCCACATTTGGTGCAGACTTTCTACAAAAGAGAGGACATGGGTCATGAATACTTCAGCCACTTCCTCTCAGCTAAGGGGCTGGGGCAACTCTGACCAAGTGATACTTTGCTATCTTCCAAGGGGGCTCTTGGTTTAGGCTGGAAGGCTAGAAGGCTAGACCACCCAAAAGACAGTCTAAAAACTCCTTAGCTGGTTTTGGGTACAATGGATGTGCCCCATCCATGGATTTCTACGATAATGATTCCCTCCATGGTCGGCTCGGAGCCTGTGGC